CAGGGACCTCCCCCGGCGGTATTACATTCGTTTTGATTTTTTTAACACGATAAACACTCTCGGCCAATGAACGATGATGCTCGCAAAAAAGCTTGTATATAGTATACCTACTTTTATGAAGGTAGGAGAAATAGGAGAAGGGCTTGAGTGCCGATTCCAAGGACATGGGATCCAGGCGTGGTCAGACTTGTTTGTTTTTAGGATTTACTCGATTTTAAACGGAAATCATTGAAACTATAACGTGGAAAATTTTGTTTAAGAAACTTGCAAAGTTGTTTTACTTAATTTTTTTATTTATATGTTTTTATATAATTTTATTACGAACACTTGGGTATTTTGATAAATCGTAAGAAATAATCTCCAATGAAACTTGATTCTTTGAGCGAGTATAAAATATCAGGGTGAAATAATTCCTTAAATTAAGAAATTGGAATTGCACCTTTTAGAAAACGAAATTTAATATTTAATAAGTGTGATTCATTTATTGCTATACGGATAAAAATTCACTTGATTTAAAATTTTAAGAAAATTATTTTGAAGAATTTGTTCGTTTTCAATCATATGGAAAAAAACTTTAGTCAAATAAAAATTTAGGCAGATCTCTCTATGAATACTTATACTAATCACCTTTGTAAAATTATTATTTCTTTTTAATTTATATTTTTCAATTTATAATTTACGTTTCTTTTTTTGTTATCCACTCATAGCTGCGCAATATAAATGAATCATCTTTGGAGTCAACGAAGATAAACAATGTTTACTCGCCATATGGCTATCTTGTACTTAAAAACACTAAATTTGTTTACTTATAAGTACTCTGTATTATATATTATTAACCCTGTTAATGGCTTTGGCTGTTGGCTTTAATTATCACTAAATAAATAAATAAAAATAAAATTTACTTGGTTCAAGTTTAAAATTTTCTCTTTTGAATTAAGTCAATTTTTTTCAATATTTTTTTTACTCTTTTTTTTTTTTGATTAACTTTTAAAAACAATTACTATTAGCCTCAGAATGTGAAATATGATATTATTATCTTAAATTTTAAGCTCATTACCGTAAGACATAGATGGTTTCAGGTGTGGTGTAATTGATTTTATATTAAAATTTTAAACACTGACAGTATAAAGATTACATGATGAATAGTGTTCAATTTTTTAACTTTAATTGAAACATTTCATTCCATGTTGCGTTAAATTACAATAATTCCGTAAAATTACATAACTGCGCGCGTACCGATATACATTACAAGCGTTTAAAGAAATTTAATACACCAAAACTTTTTAGTGTTTCTCAGGTATTTTTAGTCTTATGAAAAAAAAAAAAAATATAAATTAACAAGAACTCAACGTATCCTTCATGTCTAACAATAACTTTTTAGTGTAAATTTAAAAATTTGATATTGAAAAAATATAAATAAAAAAAAAATGCATCAATGTCCAGTATGGTTACCGTGACATTCAATGTAAATTATTATTCATAGAATTTATCAGTAAATTTTATTCAAATATCAATCATGAAATGCAACGAAACTTTTATATACGCCGCAGGTTTGTGTTATTATTTTAAATTGAACGCAATAAATTTTTTATTTGATTTTTATGCATTGTTTGAATTGTCAATTACGTCTTGTTTGTATATCATGCCGAAAATACGGTCATTTATACGGCAAAGCCATTATACAATATGAGTTAAAAATATTCATTTATACATAATTAACTGAAACCTACCAATTACAGGAGTATATTTAAATAAAATGGGTTTTTAAGTACTCGAAATGATCAATTTGAATGCTAATGATTAATGATAATAATAATGAACTTTGATATTCGATCATCAAAATAAGTAGCAGTATCTGAATCTAAGAGTGTGCAAAGTGCGTCATCCAATTAAAAGTAAAAGGTAATACCAACGAAGTAAACTGCGCTATAGAGAACTGGTTAGCTACCTACTGAATGTCCAGCATATGTGTACTTATACTTAGTGAACTTGAACTTGAGGTACTTGCACGTATGTATAGAGTAGTAGAGAAAGTTGAGTATTAAGTATAAAGAACCCAACCAAGGTCCAAGCAGTCCTTCATCTAGAGTCATTGACCGCGCGTACTTACCGAGCACCCTCTCAGAAAATTACATGCTTCTTCTTCTATCTACTTCTTTCTTAATCAAAGCCGCAGTTACCGCAGATTTCCATAATTACATAAATATTTGTCGCACCTTTTTTTGCTTATTTTTTAATTTCAATTTCCTCCAGCAAAAATAATACTTTAGCTTTTCAACGGTTGTATACTGTTAAATAAATTAATTTTACTCGAGAGAAAAAATCTTAATTAAAAAAAATTATTTCGGAAAATTTTACTATTTCTAACTCAAGTAAAATGTACTTGAATAAAAAATAACTTCTTAGTCAAAAAAAAATTTTTTTTTTTTTAATCGAGTTAATTTTTTTAACAGTGTAATAATCATGGAATATTAATAACTAATACAAGGTAGATAAAAAAAATTTGAGATAAATTTAAGATTGAATGACAGTTTTATTTTTCAATTAACATATAAATTTAGATTTATGATGCAGATAGATCCAAAACGGTACGGGTTGTTTTTGAAAAATGTGATGTTGATGTGGTCCAGTTTTCAATTATATATTGATCATCTAAAAATAATATTGAGCAGGGTAGGCGTAAGCTGGAGCATGGTAAGCGTAGGCTGGAGCTGCAGCGTATGCTGGAGCTGCGGCGTATGCGAGTGGTGCAGCAGCAAGTGTGTTGTAGTTTCGGGAGATTGATTGGCTACTTGATGCCACTGGAAGTGCTGCAGCATACTGGAACAATGGTGATGGTCCTGGAGCTGGAGCTGGTGCAGCGGCGGCAAAAGCCAAGATGGCAAAGAAAAAACACTGCAATAGAAAATTTTTGGATTAGTCTATTCTAGATAAAAACTAAAATATAATTTCTTTTCTCATTGTTTGAGCAAAAAATTAGAAATGTAATTTTTAATATTGATAGTTAAACATAGCGATTTAGTGTATGTATCTATAGTAGTGTTATACTAATGAGTTTACCAGCTTAAACATGATTATTGAGAGGGTTTGTGTTTGCGATTCGAACTATAAGCAAGTTGAAGGCTAACTGTGAAGATCCAAGTGAATCTAAAAGCTTTTATACCCCCAAGAAGCAAAGTTCTCAGGGTCATGACGTATTTTTCTCACAGAGAACCTGTCGAGCGTGACGATCAACAACCGAGTAGAGATTGTTAACCACCACTCTTTGTTCTTTGTGTCATTGTTAATTCATTTAGGTACACGATATATTTTTTTTTTCTTTCATGAACTTGTACGAATTATGTCTCAACTTGTATCTAATAAATTAGGTTGATTACTATTATCTAATGATTATTTATTATTTTTTTTTTTTTATAAAATTTTTATTTTTTCCTTCAGAAGTTTTTTTTTTAAATTATTTTTTAGACAAATTTAATAAACAATATTTTATATTATAATAATAAGAAATGGTCCGCTAAAAATAAAAAATATGAAATTTTTATATTGGGAAAAGAAAAATGTGAATAATCAGAATAAATAATAATTTATAAATTAAAATTCTGGTTTACAAAATATTTGTAATATACAATTATTAACTTTGCGTTAAGAATTTTTTATTATTGAATTCAACCCTTCAAAATCTTCATAAACAGGTTTTTTTTTTTGTATAAGTTGTATAAGTAGTATAAGTAGAACGAAATTTTTATTTTCTTTTAAAATGTTTACAGTCATATTGGTTGTATTGAAATGTAATCTTTAGACATTTCTTGAAAACTTACTTTCTTAAACCATGTGATTAAGGTTTTAAAATCCAAAGATTATGTAGATTACGTAAATCATGTGCAGATCAAGAATTTACGGATTCCGGTCCAAGTTTCATCAACATCCGTTCAGTATGTCGTAAAATCTTGCATTTTGGTGTATGCAGCAGTAATTTCACAAAGATCTCGTTAAAAGTAGACAAAAAGATTTTGAAGGGTGAGACAAAATTATGCAAAACATTAAAATTATTTTTTTTTTTGCTTACATCAAAATTTCATTTGTAACTTATAAAAGTATTATAAATAAATAAATGAATTATTTTTACTAATACTTGAAGATTCAACACTTACACTTAAATTACCAATTAAATAGTACGGATTTTAGGATCATATACTTCTAGGTAAGATATTCAAATGTCAATCAATAAAAATTCATTTGCAATTGAACTGATAGTCTATTTTTAGAACATACCTGTTCATTTAGTTTATGAACATACAATATATAATGAGTTTATAAATTAATTAATATATATATACATAAATGAGATTAGACTTTTATTATGACAATGTATAAAATTAATAATTAATAGATCAAGAAATAATTCGGCAACGCATAAGGGATGGTTATATCATAATCCCTACATAATAAGCGATGTGTATTTCAAAATTTTTCAGCATACAAATAAAGTAATGGAATATCCCATGTCCTCACAACTTGTATAATAGATTAAATAACGAGATATAATTATATAATTTCATTATTATCGTCCATTTGTCGGATCATCCTCAGTTTTTTTTGAAGATTAACATACACCAAATGTGTATTTCAATAACAGGAAATTTTAATAATTCCAAGTTATATTAAATATTATTTTTTTATCGTAAATAATTTTTTTACCTAGAATTTCAACCTGTAAAAACCTACTCTGATTCTTTAATTAGTATAAATTTTTTATTATAAAACGCATGAAGTGTGATGATGGTCTTGAAATACTTAAATGTACGATTCGCTTTGAATTAAAATACTTTCACGTATTGTCTTGAATACTTACTGATTTGTGATGATTTCGTAACAATTACTGCAAAACGTACTTGATGCGTAGTGGCGGGGTTAAGTTTCAATAAGTATAAAATGGATCAATAGCTGGTGAGTTTTTAGTTCCTTTTGATTACTCGAAGAACAAACAATAAGACTTTAAAATGTTCAGCCTTATCGTAAGTCAAAGTTCCTTTGTTTTTCTTTAAATCAAAATTAATTTTTATTATTGCTGACTTATTTCTTCTTTTTTCTTTTCAGTGCATCTTCTCCCTTATTGCGGCTGCTTCAGCAGGGATTGTACATCCAGCCCCATTAATAGCACCTGGAGTTCCTGCACCAATAGTTACTGCACGGAGTAGTCAAGTAATTGCAAGGAATTACAATACATTTGCGGCAGCTCCTTTGGCTTACACTGCGCCAGCTGCTCTTGCTGCACCAGCTGCCATTGCTGCTCCAGCGGCTATTGCTGCACCAGCTGCTTTTGCTGCTCCAGCAGCCCATCCATTTGCATACTCCGTACCAGCTCATCCATTTGCGTACTCTCTACCAGCTCATCCACTTGCATACACTGCACCAGCAGTCGCATCTGGACCATTAGTTTTTAAAAAGTAATGAGTTTATAATTGAATTGTTGGTATTTAAATCTTTTATACGTGTTATCTAATGAAATAAACATTTTTTAAGCATAATTATAACTTTTATTTTTTTTACTTCTATTATTTAGTAATAATAATTCATGGCATAAATCGTTGCATTGTTGACCATTGTTCTGAGTTATCGTTCTCGGAATTTATAAAGGGAGAGTATATATAATATGTGAAATTCTAAATGTCTCAATGTTTTATATGTTTGTCGAAAAAAAATTTACTTGAAGAAAATTTTTAAATTTAGGGTCAATTTTTGACATTACATTTTTAATTTGTTAGCTGTAATTACAGAACAGATAATTTTTTGCTACGGGATCATACACTGATAAAAAAATTAACTGAATTCAAAAGAAAAAATCATGAACCAAGAAAATAATTTTAAAGACTTTATGATCTTGAATTAATCAAAAAAATTTACTTAAATAAAAAAAAAATCTTTTAGTTCAAAAATTTTGCTGCTCAATTAAATATTATCAAATTCCCTAAATGATTTTTTTAGTTCAAGATTTTTTTTTCTTACATCAAGTTAATTCTTCTATTAGTGCATAATTAAATAGTATATTACATACCTATAGGCCGGTAAAATAAGAAAAGTCTCAGATCACATGTAATTGTTGGCCGAGGCGAAGCCGAGGTTGACAAACATGTGATCTGAGGCTTTACTTTTTACTGGCCAAGGTGTGTATACTATTTTTCTGCTCGACGTAGCCGGAATGTGGCAACTTTGTTTAGCGCAGCGGCCAGAAAGTTGCCACTTTCCGGCCGGAGGGCAGAAAAATGATTTTTTTTCTCATTTACAATTTATTTTTAGAGGGAAGTGATTATTTGCATAGTATTAAAAAATAACCTTGTTTTAGAATGATGCACTCAAAATAATATACTTATTATATTTAATAAATTACATTCTTATAATTATTTATGTACTTTTGTTGACATATGGCTTTTCATCGCGGTAATTCTATGGTAAAGCTAATTTGTTATTAGAAAAAGTAATTTACATGACAAAAGAATATTTTGACGTATAGAAATAAATAAATTATATAAGAAAGTGATTGACCAAAAATGTTACATTATTCATGATTGTATAATTAAATTACATAATCCGAATCCATTAAGAATCAAAAGCTTCCGATTGCGAACTATTTTAAGTAACAGGTTATCGACGTCAATTCTGATCTCATAATCTTGCTTATCTCTGCTATTTGATGATACAAATTTTTTTACTTCATGACTGTTGAATTTGCGATTAAAAAAAAAATTACCTTTTTGAAAAAATTCAAATATTTTTTTATCATTTAATTCTATTCAGTTCTAATAGATGTTTATTCATTCAAGTTAATTATAATAAAAATTATTTTATAAAAAATTCCAAATTTCTTGAATTGGTTTAAAAAATTTTGAGTCTGAAAATATTAACTTGATCGTAAAAAAAATCATCTAAGCTATAAAGAATGAAATACAATATTTTTTATCGAACGAGAAAGGGCAAAATGTATACATGAATCAGTATACGATGTTTAACACTGTTTAACATTAACGTGAGCAATCATACCAAAAAATGTTTTTAAGATTAATACTTAACAATGGATTGAGGAGGTCAAACTAATACCATAAACAATGGCATAGACACAAAAATATGTGACTTGACTACATACAAGAAAAGAAGCCATTAGTTATATAACTTTCTCAAACGCCAGTAAAACATTCAAGACCAACATTCTTCAAGTCAAAATAATGTTTGTCACCAATACTTTAAACAGCGATAAGAAATTTTTATTTCGTTTATGAATATGAGCATATTATTCATGTTAGGGTAAATGCACCAATTATTGACCGATTTAGGTTTTTTTTTCTGTACTAAGCTATAAAAAATCTATTAACCTACTAAAAACAATTTGTAATGGATTTTATTGAAGTTAAATACTTAATTAATAATAATTAATAACTATTTATAATAAAAATTAACAAAATTATATTAATTTTGTTATTTGAATGTTGAAATACTAAAATCACCAATTATTGACCGAAGAAACCCAATAAATGACCGACCGTCTACCAATTAATTGACCGCTCAAATAATTATAAGTAATTTTGTAAACTACTTGTATGTAATTAAATTTATGCAGTACTTTTGAAGTATTAATGACATCTTTAACAAAACTAAACATACAATATAATTTTGAATCGTACTTTTTTATAAAATAATATCAATAATTAACATAAAGTCACATTTATTTAGGTCACAAATAATCACAAATTCATTTTGATGACGATAATTCTTCTGATTGACTTGAAACTTTTTTATTCTTCTCCTTCTTTTTTTCAATTAAAGCTTTTTTACTATAGCTTGTAACTTTTTTTAATTTTTTTTTTAATCAAAAAAGATTTTAAGTATTATTTTAATTATAAATATACATTTTATAATGATTATTTTTATATTTACAAAATATTGAATGACTAAAGTACTTTAAACACTTGCCAGATTTAATTCTAAGGTTAAAGAAGTTTGTATTATAAATATACGGTCCTTAATTGGATTGTGATAAAATCAGAGGGTCTAATAAATGACCGAATGAGTTTTTTACTGGGTAAAGGGCTTCTGACGGATCCAATAGTTGACCGGTCTTAAAATAATATTAAAACTTATAATTTAACTTTATTTTTTCAAAAAAGTTGGAATCTGATCTTTAATTAACATAATAAAACTAAAATATTTTATATTATGCCGATAAATATCACTAAATTAATGATGAAATTGAACGCTAGTTATTTTTGACCGCTTTATGGCTGGTTGCGTTGTAAACAAACTCAGAATATTTTTTTAAAGCTATAATCACTGCGCAATTAATTGCGTAATTTTTTATTATGATGATTAAATGCCATATTTGTTTATTTTAATACTTTAAGAAAAAAAAAAAACCTTGTAAAATATCAATTAATTAACTTTTTTATACATCGGTCAACTAATTGGTGACCGGTCAACAACTGGTGCATTTACCCTATTCATCATTTAATTATATATTTTTTTTAAGTATAAATGTTTCCTTTTTAATAAATTTCATAAAAATCTAACTATTGTATTTGTCCTCATGACGCAACGTTTAAAAAATTTTGCTATATTCCGACTTAATTCGACGAGTTGAGTCAGAAAATGCATATGGTTCAAAAGTTTATGTATGTGTTTACATATGTGTATATGATATAACGCTTCTTGTCAGCACGATAACGTCTACAATTCTTAAGGGATCTCAATGAAACTCAACATACTTATTTTATGGACGATTACAAAAATCGAGCTCAAATTTGAGCTTAATCGGACAATTAGTTTAGAAATAACAGCATTTCAAAATTTTGAAAATTCCATATTTTTACTGCTTTTCCTTCAAATAACTTTTGAACGCACCGAGACATTTGAATTCTGTAAAATGCATCTAAAAGCTGAGAAAATAAGCTTCAATTTATATGTTTACATGTATTTCTAGACCAAAAAATATCTATTCTCGGTCCATTTAAATGAAATTTTACTGATCGTGCAGTCGTTTTGTTTGGCTTGATGGTTGTAATTTAATATTAAATAGAAACATTTTCACCAAATTGATATTAGAATTCTACTGACTGAACTCGCACTATTGTTGTAACAAAACCAGCAAAGTTTGTTTTGAACAAAATTAGTTCTAAATAGTTTTAAATTAATTATTGAGTTTTTTTTTTTTAATTAATGAATTAAGTTAATTAATGAATTAAGAGAAATCTACTTCCATTTCGGCTTAATTTTCAGTCCTTAATTTTCTATACAAAATTCCTCTGCAGTTTTTTGATTGGATTAAAATTGTAATTTTGATATGCCAAAAATCATGACACTTAAATGATGATTAATATAAAAATTGATGTATATTTTTCTTTTCATTATTAATAATTTCTAGCGATAGGCATTATTTATTCTAGTCTATAGAATCACTTAAAATTATGAATAAAATTTATTTTCTGCTGTAAAATGGACGGCGAGTTTAGGTCCTTCTTTCTTTTTCGGTAGACACACTATATGAGAGATTGTATAGTGTCTCCTGAAAGAAGTCGGAGTAAAATTATCTGATTTACTTTGAAAAAAAACATTTATTTACTCTCTAATATCTACAGAATCATTAAAAATCATGAATAATAAAATTTATCACCCGTGGGTACCTTAATATTACTATTAAGTATATAGTACGCATTGATTTTAAAGGACCGTAAAATAAATTTAATTTAATTAATTTACTACTCATATGCATATGATTTAAAGAAAATTATACATATTATATCGATTGTATATTAATAATAAATATATACATCGATTGTTCTCATTAAAATAATACTGACTAATAATTAGTCATATAACTGATAATATCTAAACTTTTGATTCACTATTATATAATTGATTAATTTTTGTTGATGGTAAAAATGTAAAACGTACATGAACGTGATATTAAAAGACGTTTTAAAAATGATAGTATAAAACAGCGAGTATAAGAAACCTGCGTCATCGACTGCGTAACAATTAGCTCATTCAAAATTGAATCACGTCAAAGAAGAAAGCATTCAATGAGTCTTGGTCAATATAAAAGCGAAAGGTATTAAAACAATGATCATTCAAGTTTCAACTGCAGTCCAGTGAAGACGACAATAATACATAAAACTAATCAATATACTTCAATTATGATCGGAAAGATGAGTGTAGGTCCAAAAAATTTTACTCATTAATTAATCACTTGACCGTTTACATAGCTAATAATTTATCAATAATAAATTTTTATTTTTAGTTGACCTTTAACTGTGCCATTTTACTGGCTTGCGCCTGTCAAATCAGTATGGCAGGAGTGATCGCTCCGGTTGTTGCAGCACCATTAGCAGCAGCACCACTGCCAGCAGCAGCCCCTTTGGTTGGATATGCTCATGCAGTTCCTCATAATATTCCACCTCATGCATCAAGAGTTGATATCAGTACAAGAGCATTAGCCGCGCCTTACGTTGTTGCTCCAGCTGTTTCGGCACCAATAATTTCAGCACCAACAGCTCCAGTAGTTGCGGCACATCCTGGTTTCTTCGGTGCTCCATTTGCAGCCTACAGATCCGCGGCTATTTTTGGTTAAAATGTTTTACAACGTGAATTTTACCTTGCCTTGATGAATACTTGTTTATCGTCCGAAAAATGTTTTTATTATTTATTGTTGTTGTTGACCTTTTGCTCTTACAATGTTTTCTTCTTTTCTTTTAAGAACTTTAAATAAAATTTTTTGTCATATAAATAAAACTGTGTACATTAATAAAACTCAGTCCCATTTCATCATGCACATTAATTTTATAATTTTACTTTACATTAATAATTGATAAGGGTGTTAAACATATTGATAAAGAAATTAATTTGATTTAAGAGAAAAAAAATTTTGATCCAAAAAAATATAAGAATATTTTCTTGTTGAATTAAATAGAAAAATTCTTGAACTAAGAAATTTTTTGTGATTTGAATAAATTTTACTAGATTCAATCATTTTTCTTCTTGAATCAAGTTAATTTTTTTATCAGTGTACGAAAATTATCAAAAGTTTTAATTTCTATGTATTTTATTTTTATGCCGAGAGACTGCAACAGGGTAAAGAAAAGAGTTCATTAAAAACATTGATTTGTAACAATCTCCAATAAATAAAATTACCTTCTCTCAGATTTTTCGAACACAGGATGTGAAACCTTGAATTACGGCTTACAACAGTAACAGATGGAAGGGATATGTAGATCAATAAAATATTTACCAAAAAAATAAAAAAGATATTTGGTTTGTTGTTTAATCCAGATAATATCTTTGATGCGAAAAGAGATTGTTTTTGCTTTACGAATAAGTAAAAATAAATAAAAAAAGTTAAAAAATAATCCCGTAAAAGTTTTCTATTTTATGCTTTAGAATATCAGACATTAATAAATATCATTAACTATCATGATATTTATTATCTCAATTAGTATTCAAGAATAACTTACACTGATGATAACAATAATTCAAAAAGACTGACATTATTTCGGTTAATATATGATGATTTTTTGTTAGTATAATTTGATTTTATTTATTCAAATTTATAGATGTTAATTTTTAAATGAGTTAAGTAATGAAACACTTGTTAGTGTTAAAAAATTTTTACACATATTATGCATATTATTGTAACTAAAAGTATCTAATAAAAATGAAATTACACGGAAAAAAAAAAAAATAACTCGATTGGAGTGGAAAATTCTTCAACCAAGAAAATTATATCGAAGAGTTTTATTGTCTTGAATCAAGACGATAAATTCTTGGATCAAATAAAATTTCCTTAAATCAAGAAACATTTCTCTGTTCAAGAATTTTCAAAATTAAACCAATACATTGAAGCTCTTTTGAATAATATTTTTGATTTAAGAATTTTTCTCTTGAATCAAGTTAATATTTCTTTGTGTATAAATTAAAAATACACTACTTCCGTAGAATCATGATGTATATACAAATTTTGGTCTATTTATTTTAAGTTATAGACCACAAATTATAATTATAAAACGTCCAAATTAATTATGGCAGTTCTATTTAAAGATAGTGTATATAGATAACATATTAATCTAGTCAATCGTGAAATAAAGCTAATCGTCTCAAGATTTTAGGAGCGTGATGTTGCTCATGAAAGCTTCATCGATACGATAATGAACCTTGATCGTTAAGTTGAATATTATCCCACAATTAATGTTCGATCAATTTACAAAAAACGAAAGTCTATACGTTATGTAATTTAAATCGACATGTGGATTTTTGGGTGATAGTTGATAATAGGAGAACCAATGTAATAACATTTTTTATCGAGTGTATTCCCAGCAGTGTTTTAATGTCAACAGCGGAGATGAGGGTAGCTTGATCGCACGCGGCAATCGATCCTCAATGCGCTGGAATAAAAAATGAGAAATACCAAAAGTTAAAAAATTTTATTTCTACTTAGAATTACGTTTTCATTTATTCAACATTTTAAATCATTTTGATGATTTAAAAAATCACTCGTAAATAAAATTTCGATCGATTACCATTTTTGGAGACTTTTACTTATTCATATTTTGATTACACGGTAATATTTTGATTGATTATGTCAACATATAATTTTAAAAGGATTAACTCTCTATTAAGGATATCTATATTATATATTATAATATACATATATTATATGAAGCTCTTAAGAATGAGCTTGAATAATAATGACACGAATAAAATAAAATAGATCAATCTGTGTTGTAATTTAAAATTTATTACATAAACAATTACTGCAATGACACCTTTTTGATTGACAGCGTGTCTCAATAATTTCAGAGACCGACTCATTGTGAATTTAAATCAAGTCTTATATATCAATTGTGCGAATAATGAACAAAAAATTTCTTTTTCTGTATAATATTTATGACGAAAAAAACCAAAAATCTAATAATCCGCATGCGGATTCAATATATTTGCATTTCTCTTTCAATGACCGAATTATGCGTGTATTCATGAGCAATTTAAAAAAGTGAAATGTTATTTTTTCAATTGTTTTAAAATAAATTTATGATTCTTGTACACAAACGCGTACGGAATAAAATTTATGTCGGTGACCAAATTAATGCGTATATATTTATAGCTAAACTTTCTCACCTTGTTTATATAATTTTCGAACTTTTTGAAGAGTGGTAAGTGGTAAGAATAATCGATATTGTTGGTAAAAAAAAAAAAAAAAAACCTGGGGTAAAAAGCCTTGAAGGATTAATTGCGTGTGACTGCGTGAAGAGAAGATAGTGTTATAGAAACAAAGAGTGAATATTAAGTTAATGGTCACATCACGTGCAAGTTTCGATTTTCATAAAAAAACATAAAAAATAATAACAATAATATTAAAATAATCATTGTACAAGCTATTGCTGTATTTTGATGCACGTGTTCTCGAAGCTCTTCGATGTTTCACGTCTCAGAAAATACAAACCACGAACCCCTCCAATCGGGTGTGGCCTCCGGTCAGTCAAAGGCCATCTAGTATGCGAAAGTATGGTAGGAATGACCGGCAAGGGGGATCCCCTTGATGGAGGGGATGCTTCTTTGTTAGCAATCTAAAGCAAGACCGTATAAAAGCACCTGGAAACTCTTCAATAGCATCGCAGTTTCCTCAGCGAACCTCATAAGCAACTAATTCTTCTACAATGATGACCAAGTGCCTTGTGAGTATCCAAAAAATATTTTTTAGAGTTAATAACATTAAGGGCGAAATTTACGACCCTAAGCCGATCAAAATTTAAGTGTCTAAACAAAAATAGCAAAATTTTTAGTAGTAATTTACCATCAATTAAAATATTCAAAATTTTTGTTTTTTCGTATATTATATATTTAGTAAATTGTTTGTTTTCATTACTAGACTCAATGCGAATTATTAGAGAGTATTTACGATCCAAAAATTCTACAATTTTTGCCTCTTTACTTTAACTATTTTACATGTTGTACTCGTGTCAGTTCACGAAAATAAAATAACTTGCAAACCACAAAAAATTTTTATGTTAAATATTTAACACTTTTTTATGTAAATTTAACATTTATTGAGTTAAATTAACACAACAAAAAATGAATTTGCGCGTAAGGAAAAAATTTATCGATATTTATATAGATGTACAGAAGTCTGATAAAATTAGTTTTTTGATTGTTAATTATTGTTAAACGACACCGAGTTTGGTAGCCATTTAAGACAGCAATTCTTTTCGGGACAAAATGAGTCTATTTGAAGAAAAAATTATTTAAAGAATTGATTTCTGTCAATTCGTGTTTCTAAGTTACACACTTTTTTATATTGCTTTGTTGGTATACATAATTTTTTTTTTTTTTTTTTCCATTTCTATTACACTGCATCAATTTTTTTTTAATTACGGAATTAATGTTGATAAATTATCTGTACAATGCACAGTAAAAAATTTTGCGTCAAAAAATTTGATGTTAAAAATTTTTATGTTAAATATTTAACACTTTTTTATGTAAATTTAACATTTATTGAGTTAAATTAACACAACAAAGTGTAAAATTGACACAAAAAAGTGTTAAATATTTAACATAAAAATTTTTAACATCAAATTTTTTGACGCAAAATTTTTTACTGTGCATTGTACAGATAATTTATCAACATTAATTCCGTAATTAAAAAAAAATTGATGCAGTGTAATAGAAATGGAAAAAAAAAAAAAAAAAATTATGTATACCAACAAAGCAATATAAAAAAGTGTGTAACTTAGAAACACGAATTGACAGAAATCAATTCTTTAAATAATTTTTTCTTCAAATAGACTCATTTTGTCCCGAAAAGAATTGCTGTCTTAAATGGCTACCAAACTCGGTGTCGTTTAACAATAATTAACAATCAAAAAACTAATTTTATCAGACTTCTGTACATCTATATAAATATCGATAAATTTTTTCCTTACGCGCAAATTCATTTTAATGAGAATTGACGCTCAGATTAGTTCGTAAAAATAATACTGCGAAACATTTGAAATACAAATAACGTCAACAACCGACAATAATAAATTTTCTTTTTTTTTTTAGTTTATAAATCAGCAATAGATTGTATTTTTAATTAAAAAATTCAATGTGTATTTTTGAATTTTCCAAATTTTTTTAAAATGTATTTTATTAATTAAAATTTTTTTTTCAATTTCAAACAGATCCTCTTCTTCGCCCTGGTAGCTGCTTGCTCCGCGGGTATAATTGCGCCTGCAGTACCAGCTGCTCTCACGGTAGGAACATACGCAAGTAGTTACAATGCACATGCAATCAACCATGCGTACGCTGCACCTTATGTCGCGGCCGCTGCTCCATTAGCAGCAGCTCCATTAACGTACTCAGCATACCCAGCCGCATACTCAGCGTTACCAGCAGCATACCATGCAGCATACCCTGCATCATACCCTGCAGCATACTCCGCATACGCAGCACCCATCATCGCACGCCGTTAATGATCTTCTATTCGACATCTACAATCTTTTTGATATCAGTCATTGATTATTTATAAATATTAATGAGGATACTTTTATTAAGATTACCAAGTCATGATTATTAACAATAATAACAATACATATTGAATTCTAAGTACATCAGTTCAGTCGGATTTTAGAATAAACAGTTATCCTGTGATCGATAAGAGGATGACGATTAAAACGATACCATTACTGTTTATTGAAATGATCGAGGAACTGATGTACCCACTGGTGGTCAATTGGCTTGTTATAATGATCTACCGATTTATCAGTACCGATCATTACAGGGCGATGGTGCCACTAGCACTTGATCTCTCAATCCGTCTTTACAAAAAAATTTATTCATACAAATACAAATTAACTTTATAATTTTTTTATAAATATTAAAATTTATAAAATATATAAAAACTTTATCAAATATATCATTCGTGTTTTTTTTTTTATTTTCAATATACTGTTGATTTATATTATTAATAGAATAAGGAAAATTTTGTCAGAGTACTTATATGATAAAATGGGTTTTTTTAGTTTAATTAAATACACAGAAAAAAAATTAACTTGATTCAAGAGAAAAATTCTTGAACCAAAAAAAAAAATTTGGAAGAGTTTCGTTGTCTTGAATAAAGACGAAAAATTTTTGAATTAAGTAAAATTCACTTAAACCAAGAAGAATTTCTTAGTTTAAGAATTTTTATATTTAAATCAAAAAGATGACGTTCTTCAAAATTATTTACTTGATTAAAGTAAATTTTTTTTTTCTGTGTATCATTGCAAAGATATTGACTAGGGGTGTGCGAATATTCGAACTTTCGAATTACTCGAAGCGAATCGAATCGAATTATTCGATTCGAGAATCGAGTCGAATATCGAATTATTCGAAAAGTTCGAATTGTTCGAAAGATTCGAATAGTTCGAAAGGTTCGAATAATTCGAAACTTTTTCGAATTTTCGTTAAATCGAAACGACACTGTGTTAGACTCTTAGTTTTCTAAGGTAATAACCTTTATTTAGTCATTTCATGTCCAATCAACCAATGATTAGACTTAATTACTTTTAAGTGGGATACATTTTATCCATACGTTTTCCATTTTCATAATTTCCTTATCGTGAATGTTAATTTTTACGGTCACCAGTTTCTGGAGCAAAGAAACAACATGAAAAAATTTTTTCGATTGTTTATGCACATTAGGGTGGCCCAAAAAATCCGACTATTTTTTTTTTTTAGTCTCGAGTAAAAAAATGTTAGTTTTTGATGTTTTAAGAACCCACTCCAAAAGACAGCTCAAAAAAAAATTTTTAAAAGGTCGCCCTAAATTTTTTAAAATTTCAAAAATCATAGAAAATCGATTTTTTTTTTTTTTTTAATTTTTTTCCTCGTTACGGTATAATTTTATAGACCAAAAAAAAAATAAGTTTCTGAAAGTTTTAGTTCAAAATTTAAATTTTGAAAGGTCGCTCACAATTTTTTTCTTTTTCTTCAATTAGCCATATCGCCGACTTAAACTGTTAGGAGTGGTACGTTGGGGTCTTTTTAGTTTGTAAAAATCTTAACTTACGCAGCAAGGGTCAAATTTCAACCAAGCTGATTTCTAAGACCAGCTTGGGATTCAAACCCACGCCTTGTAGTTGATTAAAAAAAATTATTAAATTAAAAATAATTATGTTTTCTACATTGTGCTTGATTTACAGTTGATCTCGTGATGTATTTTTATCGATTATTGTACTAAATAAAAAAAAAAGTGCATGGAATTTTAATTTCAAAACTAAAAGGTCGCTCGAAAAAATCTAAACTAATGCACTAATAAATTGAAAAAAAAAATATGAGCAACCTTTCAAAATTTAAATTTTAAACTGAAATTTTCAAAATCTCATTTTTTTTTTTTAGTCTATAAAATTATACCGTAACGAGAAAAAAAATTAAAAAAAAAAAAA